ATTTTAAATCCTTTGGGTGCATACCCAGAAGTGGAATAACTGGGTCAAATGGTGGTTCCATTCCAAGTAAAACATACAATATTTTAGAAGTACATATTTATTCAAAGACCAAAGTGATTTTTAAAAATTATTTTAAAAAATTCTTATTAATGCATCACTGTTTGCCATTAAAAGATGATTATAGAAAAATGGACAATGATATGAATGGAAGAAAAAAGGAAAATAGAGAAGATAAAACTAAATACTATCAATACATAAAATACATGTTTTAAGGTTTTTCACATTGTCTAGAGATGGGTAGAAAATCTGATCAGACATTTCCTGGTAGCCAGTGCATAGAGATGACACCACTGGCTTTGGACTTCACTGTACACAAACACTGCATCTGCTCACAAGAAACCTAACTATTCTAACACCAAGACTAGAAGACTAGACAGCAATTTCCTAAGTCTTTTTTCTTTCTTTCTTTCTTTCTTTCTTTCTTTCTTTCTTTTTTTTTTTTTTTTTTTTTGGTACTGGAGATTTAACTCTGGGTTAATCTTGTTGAAATCTTGACCACTGAGCCACATCCCCAGCCCTATTTTCCATTTGATTTAGAGACAGGGTGTCACTGAGTTGCTTAGTGCTTCACTTTCACTGAGGCTGGCTTTGAACTTGGGGTCCTCTACCTCAGCCTCCCAAGTTGCTGGAATTACAGGCATGTACCACTGGGCCCTGCTCTTGAGACTTCTTAAATGTCACCTTTTAACTGACTATACAGTACTTGGCACAGTTGTTTCCTGAAARATATGCCTATGTGGAAAATTGACCAAAAATGTTGGGGTGTGGCATCTCTTGCCTCAGGGTTTAAACACATAGCTCTGAGAACAGAGACTGGAATTTCTTTTAAAAACCAGGCAAGGGCTGGAGTTGCAGCTCAGTGGTAGAGCACTTGCCTAGCATGTGTGAGGCACTAGGTTCAATTTTCTCAACAGATAAAATAAGTAAAATAAAAGTCCATTGACAAGCAAAAACAAACAAACAAACAAAAAACCCCAAAACAACTTTTTTAAAAAGAGGCAATATTAATAATGGTAAATTAAATGTATTAAAAATGATTTTTCTAGAATGTGACAGACAATGCTCTTTTGTTTATTATGTACTGGTTTACAGCCTATAGATTAGCCTGAGATATCTAGTACTTAGTGATTTTAGAGTTCTAATGCTAGATACTTTTGAATAGACATTTCATAGACAAAACTACTGATAATAGCAAAATGAAGTATTTGAGAGATTTAATCTATTCTATCAGGCCGTGCTAACCCCAAATAAATTTCAATTTCTTTTCAAAGGGAAAACAGTATCACAACTACCACATAAAACAGCCCCTCTATAAAATACATAGGCTCATAAAAAGTAATTCTTCAATCATTAAGACAACCATCTGATACCAGCAATATTTTGTTCAAAGGTATATTTACAACCCTCGATAAAATAACAAAATGGCAACTTTCAAGATGGAAAGGGCTTTTAAGATCAATTAGACAAATCCCCATGTTTGGAAAAGGGAACAAAACAAGCCCAAAGAGAGTGAATGACTTAGCTGAATTCATGGAGCTAAGTGGTAGCAGGGCCAGGCTGGCTGGCACTCAAATGTCCCAATTGCCTGTCTAACACCAGCTAAATTCACTGTTCATTTCTATTTCATGACCTAAGCATATTTAGTTTATGTAGTAAATATTAATTATCAACCAAACTTTAGTCTTGGGTTTTCTACCTTATAGGAAACTCATTCAACAAATGAATTATCTGCTAACACACACACACACACACACACACACACACAGAGAAAAAAGTTTCCTGGCTTACAGTACGCTATAAAATGGCATAATAAATACCATTTAATTACAGCAAATAAAAAGCAATCTTTTTTTTTTAAATAAAAGCACTAATACYAAAGTGCTGAAAGGTGGTAACATTTAATATGTAATAGGCAAAGTCATCTAGAATTACTTTGAGACCAAAGCATCAATGTCTTTAGTGCTAATAACAATCACCAACACAACTAATCGCCCTCCTAAGGAGAGAGCTTTGAAACCAGTATTACAGAATACAGTGCACCAACTGAAAATACAAAAGGTGGAATTGTACAAAAATGTCAAGCAAGAACGATATGTTCATTAAATTCAACAGATGAAAACAACAATTTCTAAGTTAACATCTTGTGATGGGATTTAAAACATCCATATGTTTTATTTCTGGGAGTTAAAAAAAGCACACTTCATACTTAAGATTCTCTGCAAAATACACTTGATTTTTAAAAAAAATTTAAGCACAGCTTGTGTGAGGACTCAAATGCTGTGTCAGGGGGATGAAATCTTATCAGGGAGTTTCTCAATCTAAGCAGCAAGAGCTTTCCATTTAGATGTAATTCACCAGACACCATCATCACTCAAACTGTTCCTGTGCACAGAAACAGCAGGAGCCATGGATTGCCCTGACAACCACTCAGGCAGAGTGCTGACAGCAGATGCTGCCACCTGTACATGATCATGGACACCAGGTTAAGCCTTGCCAAAGTACAATATGCCCCACCTCTCTTATGCCTCAGACTACATGTGTTCTCTAGAAAACAAAGCTGCTACACTAAACATCTCCATGTCAACAAACTGTTTTTCCTTTTTCCCACCCACAAAACTCTCACTAGCAGACAATTATCCTCCTACCACATGAAGGATAAGAACTGTATATTTTTCAGTTATTAAGTCCTCTCTGCTCAAGTACTTATTAAGCCTACCATTTTACATTTTAAAGAGCCTGCTCCTTTTTTGCAAGTATTAGTAACAAAATGGCCTTCATTCGTTTTCAAACATTCAGGGAAAACATTTGAAAAGTGTATTTAAATATTTTCTTAATCCAGGACTCTGAAGCACTGAGATAGTAGGGGGGGGGGGAGCGGGGGAGGAAGTGAAAGTGACAAGAGAATCACTTTGCTTCCTTTTTGCTTTCTTTTGCATTGGACAGATAAAAGATTGTTTTTAAATTTTGCCCTTTTAACAATCAGAAACTAATAATGAGGGGAGAGGGCAAACTAAAACTCAAATCCACTCCCTCCCAACCACATGCAGCCTGAAAACCCCTTTTAAAAGGCTGTCTTGGGGCTGAGGTTGTGGCTCAGTGGCAGAGTGGGTGCCTAGCACAAGTGAGGGCCTGGGTTCAATCTTCAGCACTAYATATAAACAAATAAATAAATAAAGGTCCATCAATAACTAATACTTTTTTTTTAAAGGCTGTCTTTTCTCCGCGGGTTCAAGGAGGGCTCCGGGCTCCTGTCAGGCTCCATCACAGTCCCAGTTAACTCAGCACCTGCTCGGCTCTTCCTGGGTCGTTTTTAGTACACATCCATCTCCTCCCTCCTGCTGGGAGCAACGGTTCGACCCAGATCGCTCAGTGCCACTCTTCAAGGCCAACTGTTACTCACCAGCACCCTCATGATTCACCGTCTCCCGGGTCTCCGAACCAAATGGCAGTCTTTCCTTCCCTCTTCAAAAGGGAGGTGCTCTCGCGGTTCGCAGAGGGAAATGCCACTCTCATTGCCACAGTCCCTGCCCGGCTCCATCATCTCCGTAGCTCCCACTCCCACCACTTCACCGTGGAACCCAGAGGAACTAGCGGACCGGTCCGTAAAGCGGCTCGTGAAACTTAGTCCCGAGAATCTGCAATCCGGGCCGCAGCCCCGCGCACCCGCAGCTGGCCAGCGTGATGTCCCCGCGTGCCACTCTGGCCTTTCCTCCCCCCGGTCCCAGGGTGTGACCCCCCGCCCTGGACGTCCCGACCTGCGTCGCCGGCCGAACGACCACCTGTGGGCCTCCCCGCGCGCGGAGCCCGGGCCAGCACAACGCAGTGAACAGCCCGGCCGCTCCGCTTTCGCTCGAGCCAAAGTTGCCGGCCGGAAACTTTCCACCCAYCTGCTCCGGGGCTTCCCGAGGCCGGGTACCTAGTCTTACCTGGGGCGTCGGTGTCGGTGGCCTCGTTCGAGCTCGGCCCGGGACTCCGGGGTTCGGCAGCAGCCGCCCCAGCCAGAGGCCCCTCGAGAGCATCCTCCTGCTCGGAGCCGGGAACTCTCGGCGTCAGCGGCGCATCCTCCCGCGCGGCGGGCTCCCAGCCGGCGCCCGCGGCTCCCCAGTCGGCGCCCGCGGCTCCCGGCCCCAGCCCGCTGTGGGCGCAGTCCGCCCCGCGCCGCCCCGCCCCGCCCCGCCCGGGGGCGGAGTGCAGGGAGGGTGTGTCCCAGCTTCCACTTCTCGATGGTGCGCACACCCCGMGCTAGGCTTTCTTTCCTCCGACAAAAAAGCGGGGGAGGGAATGCGGGGGCGGGAACGCGAGTGACAGTGAATCGTCCTGCGGGTCTCGGGTTTCGCAGAGCTTCTCACATCTTGAGAGCTGTGGGTTTCAAAACTCACGGCTAGTTCKGGGCACTTTGTGCCCCGACAGTAGTCTTCCCGTTCAACCCCACGGGACAGAGACGCGGGGTTGAGGGGCAGGCGCGTCCGGATCTGGAGGGGGCAGCTGGGTGGTGTTCTCTATGACCCAGCCCAGAGGACGGGGAGACGGTTTGCCAGGCTCCCCTAGGCAGTAGGCTGGAAGGCCGGTGCCAGCCCCTGGTGGCCTTGGCCCACTGGAGCGCGCGATGCGCTTCAGACCTTTGGCCTGAAGCCTCATCTATGCCAGAGTTGTACTCAGATTCTTTAGGGGAAATCTCCCCACAGGGGAACTGGCTTTCTTCCTCCTCCAGTCCATTTTTTTTTTTTTTTTAAACTAGGGATTGTAGAGAGGGGCCCTTTACCACTGAGCTATTTTTTGAGACAGGGCCTCCATAAATTGCTCAGGCGGGCCTGGAACTTGAGATCTTCCTGCCTCAGCCTCCTGAGTCGCTGGGATTGAGCCACTGCACTGGCTTTGGCTTCTATTTTGAAGTACCTTTTTAATTGAAGGAGCTACAAAACCGAAACTTAAATTTCCCAACAACCAGGAAATCTAATGTTTTGCCTCGAAGAGTTTATGCTCATAAAGTCAAACACAAGCCATTTAAGAATGACTTAAAACAAGCTTTCACACAGCTTACAATAGAGGACTGTTAAAAAAAAATATAGGATACTCAGTTTGAATTTCAGAAAAAAAATAACGTTATTGTATGTCCCAAATATCACATAGGTCACACTTATTCTTTAAAAAAATGAAATATCTGGGATATAACTACACTGAATTATTTAACTGCAAGAGGCTTGAGTTAATGAGCCAAAGATGGCAAACAGTGCAACAAATGGTGAATTACTCCTGATGATGCTTGTCTTTCTTAATTAAAAAAGAAAAGAATTAAGGCTTTGGAGATATAGCTCACTTGGTAGCATGCTTGCCTTGCATGCACAAGGCCCTGGGTTCATAGCCCCAGCACCATCCAAAAAAAAAAAAAAAAAGTTTCTATGATAGCAAAATATTTATCATGGAAGTGGAGGGAAACCTAAATAAACCATCTGTTCTTAGTTTCTGAACAAACCTTCTGGATGTCACCTGCTCTTATTTACTTTTAGTTGACTTTAGATAACATCTCTGACCTGTAGATCAGGATAACAGTTCATGCCTGAGTAAACCCTCTACTCAATTCCCCTGCTCCTACTTAACTTCCAATCACCTTTTCCTATGCCACAGCCCATAAATATCCCCTGGCGGATTGGAGACTGGTTCTCCAGTCTCTACATGACTAGCCACCTGGGGAATAAACTTCATTCCTTTCAGTGACTGGCTTGTTGCCTGGCAGAMCAAAGGAGACTGGTTCAAGAACATCATAGGTAAAACTGACATGTTAAGTAGCATCTGTGGTTCAAAACACATCTGCACTGGGCAGGTAGTGACACGTTCAACATTAAGTTCACATGGGAAACTAAATTACTTTACCTGAGTCTTTTTTCTCTATAAATAAGAGTGCTCCAAATGAAAGAAAAGAGTTTTATTAGGAGGGAAGGTGAGAAACGGAGGATATGGCCATTTTGCAGCTCAAAATCTAGCCACTAAGGGAGGATCAGCAAAGTGCTGTGAGAGAACCTGAGGAGTCTGCAGACAAAAGAGGCTTATTTAAGGATGCCCTCTACAAAGCCGCCCAGCACACACAACACATTTCACCATAATGTACAGAACTCTTGGTGAAACAGAAAAATTACTCAATGTGTGATAGTTMTGAAATAATATATGCACACTACAGCCTTTTCACTTTTGTGTTATGGCAAGATTGCAATAAATCACTGAGTCAATCTTAAAGCAGGAGACGGAAACTTTATTTACCAGCTAGTGGTCCAGACCTATCAGCTGGCAGGCCAAGGGGCAGGCTGYAAGTCTACACCCTTTGACCCCCTCCCCRGGGTTTGAGTACACCTTTTATAYTATAAGTAAAGCATGTCAGTACATTAATCATAAGTGGCTATTGCTATGACTCGAGACCATAAACAAACATCATGGGATCTAAAATMACAAGCAGAAGGGGAAGTGGGTCAAAATGACCCTAATTGAGTACAAGTTAAAAAATGGCTATTAACATCTTCAAGAAAAATGGGAACCAAAAAGARAACAATTTTATATTACATAAGAAGAACAGAAACATTTGCATTCCTAAGCAGGGTGTGCTAAGCAGGACCAGAATGGCAGAGRTGGAGTTTTCTTGGGAGAAGCATTTTTTACATGACATGGAGTCTCAGGGCAAAATGGAGTCTGTTTGGTCATTGCCCATATAGCCTAGCCCATAACATTTGAATCTCTGACATTGCTTTTTTAAAAAAAGTTTCTTTAAATAGTTTTATTGAARTATAATTTACTCACTCACTACAAATGYACAATCAAATTACTTCTAGCAAATTTGCAGTTATACAATAATCACCATAATCCAATTTAGAACATTTCCATCACCCCTGAAATATTCCTTAGGTTCATTTACATTATGCCCAGACCACCTCCAGCCCCAGGTAACTAATCTACTTTCTCTCTAGATTAGCCTTTTCTGGATAGCTTATATAAAAATGAAATCACAATTTTCAATTTATTTATTTACTTATTTAATATTGGGGATCGAACCCAGTAGTGCTTCACTATTGAGCTACATCCAAAGCCCTTTTAATTTTTTTAAGTTTTGAGATAGGGTTTTGCTAAATTACCCAGGCTGGCCTCAAAATTGCAATACTCCTGTCACAGGCTCCCAAGCCACTGGGCATACAGGCATGCATCACTGCACCCAGCTTTTTTTTTTTTTTTTTTTTTAAGTCCTTCCTATATCTATTTCACATTTCTCATCAGTCTAAGACCTCCGATCACACTGCAGCACTTGACACAAGCACTTCCTGTCTTGGCATATTATTATCCTACCTCTCTGGTCCACAACTCCTGGGCATTTTCTCAGTCACACTGCTTTAAGTTTTCTTGTGATATGTCTTCTTTCTACTTAGCATGCTTTCATTTATTCATTGTTGTCTGAATCCCTAATTTGAATCAGGTACTGTGCTAGACACCATGACACAAAGATTAATAAAGCCTAGCACCTGCCTTTGCATGCATAATCTAGCTGGAAAGTGAGTCAAGAGTGCAAATAAAGTGAATGTGATAAGTGCTAGAGAGTAGGTAGATATTAAATGCTATGGAAAACTCTGAAGTAATAAAATAGCATTCATTGAAAACTTAGCATTGAGAATTTACATGTCAGTACAGTTCATTTACTGTGACACTAATGAAACTTTCATTTCAGGCCTCTGCACTTGCCAACGCTCTTCCAAGGCAGTGGGGAGAGAGAGGGTCTATAGCAACATGTTCACTTGGTTGTGTTTCTGTACTACTTCTAAAAAGTAAGGTATTCCAATTAGAATAGAATAGAAAAAATCACCATCACTTTCCTCTCTAAACCACCCTTCTGTCACACAAACCCCCATTAGGAAGTCTTCCCAAAATTAACTATACTARGAATTGACACATTACTAATTATGAGTCGTTGGCTATGACCATTGTCCAGAGTCAGCAAAAAGTAAGCTGGGTTTAGTTTGGGTATAGTGGAATGCTTTTAGGTGACTCAGTCTTTTATAATTTTTTTTAAAGTTATTGCTAACTTAGGAATGGCTTCCATGAATACTTCTATTACCTATTGGGTCAACTTAGTATTGTGACAAAAAGTGTAGGGCCAAGGATTGTGTTGTAACATGAATGTGTCCTACAGTGGTAGGTGGCCAGATAGAGACAGTTCATGAAAAAGAAATGAACTAATCTGTGGARTATCTTCTAGATATTATAATTCACATATCATGTGCTAAAAGTATTCTTAAATTTAAGAACAATTATAAGAAATGACACATTACTAACTGTGAATTGTAAACTTCAATAATATAAAGCAAAACAATTGATAGAGAAATTATTATGGAATTTTCTATTCTCTCTATAGAAATTATTATGGAATTGTTGTCATATAAAAAGGAAGTTAAGATAGCCCCAAAAGTATTCCAGTGATATGTAGGGGCAAGTAATTGATAAACATGTTATATCTTTCTGGATTTTGAGCTTCAAAAATTTATTTATGATGTATTTTCTTACTCTTAATATTTACCATGTCAATTTTTCAGACCATTGGCCCAAAGCCTCATCTTTACCAGAGAGTTGCCGTTCACTACGTGGTGGCTCAAACTTGGATTTTTTAGGTGAAAACTCTTCACAGGGAAACTGTGGAAAGTACCCCAAATTATATAAGATTCAGGCTCCACAAAACCTGGTTCTGCCTCCCCAGCTCAGGCACAAGTTTTTTATCTGCATTACCTTGCTTAGTCATTACAAAAACCTTATGTGTTAAGAATTATTATTATTATTATTATTATTATTATTATTATTATTATTATATCCTCATTGCATATGAAAAAAATTCAAGTTTAATAGATTAAATAATTTGTGCTAAGGTCATATAGCCAGAATTCAAGTCTGAAATTACATGACTTTTAACCCCAGGATTTTAACCTTGACCTTAGACTTCCTATGTCTTTTGGCATCCTGACCATCTAACCTTCCCATAGCCTTAGGATTAGGGTGAGGTCAAGTGGTGAATCACCAATGTGCGGGGTCAAGTTCTATATTTATTTAAAACTTTGACATTTTGTGCATCATGGAATTTTTGCATTATTTTCTGTTTTTAC